CTGTCTGTCTGACTACCTGTCTGTCTGTTTGCCTGTCTGGCTGTCTATCTGACCGGCTCTGTCTGTTTGGCTGTCTGTCTGCCTGTCTGTTTGACTGTCTGTCTCTTTGGGTGTCTGGCTGGCTGTCTGTCTCTCTGTCTGCCTGTCCATCTGACCAGCTCTGTCTATTTGTCTGTCTGTCTGACTACCTGTCTGTCTGTTTGCCTGTCTATCCGACCAGCTCTGTCTGTTTGGCTGTCTGTCTGCCTGTCTGTTTGACTGTCTGTCTCTTTGGGTGTCTGGCTGGCTGTCTGTCTCTCTGTCTGCCTGTCCATCTGACCAGCTCTGTCTATTTGTCTGTCTGTCTGACTACCTGTCTGTCTGTTTGCCTGTCTATCCGACCAGCTCTGTCTGTTTGGCTGTCTGTCTGGCTGTCTGTCTCTCTGTCTGCCTGTCCGGCTATCTCTCTGACCGCCTCTGTCTTTTTGGCCATCGGTCTGTCTGTCTGTTTGCCTGTCTGCCTATCTATCTGACCAGCTCTGTCTGTTTGCCTGTGTGTCTGACTATCTGTCTGTCTGTTTGCCTGTCTGTCTGTTTGGGTGTCCATCTGCCTGTCTGTCTCTCTGTCTGCCTGTCCGGCTATCTCTCTGACCGGCTCTGTCTTTTTGGCCATCGGTCTGTCTGTCTGTTTGGCTGTCTGTTGGTCTGTCTGGCTGCCTGTTTGACTGTCTGTATGACTGGCTGTCTGCCTCCTCAGCCCAATGATCCGGTCACAAACATCTGCCAGGCGGCTGACAAGCAGCTCTTCACCCTTGTCGAGTGGGCTAAGCGGATCCCGCACTTTTCGGAGCTCCCCTTGGACGACCAGGTCATCCTCTTACGAGCAGGTACTGCCGGCCCACCTACCCTCACCCTCTGTGTCACCTCCCTGCACACAAGTGTCATTTCAAAAAGAAATTCATATATTTTTTGATCAATGCCTCCAAGACCTTAATGCACCAGTTTGCATATTTTTACTTTAAAGATTGTCAAAGAACAAAGTTAAATAAATTACAAAGAATCCCACCAATCAAACCTAATGTCTCCCCTGACGTGGTTATAGATGTTTACAAATGCAAGTGAACTTGTTAACCGGTACAAAGAGGGTTCTAGGATCTCCTTCTCAGACTCTGACTCCCTGTAGTCTAAATCTGAGCCAGACATCAAGGTTGTAGAACCGTAAACTAGGATAAGAAGTAGAATGGAGCAGCAGGACAAGTTTCACTGTCCCTTCACAAAGACCTTTCACACATTTCAGGCATCTGGCCCCAGAGTAACATTGCCCTGTATCCTCAGTCACAGCAAATAACCTACGGCCTGTAATGGTTATAACGAGTAATGGTTTCTCACATCAGAGTAGAGTCAGCTCCTCACAAATAGTAGTCGCTGTCAGTCACATCTTGTCAGAGGATTGGTCAGTAATCATAATAATAATAATAATAATAATAATAATAATAATAATAATAATAATAATAATAATAAATGCCCGAATCACAATTGATTAGTCTGCGATCATTGATATAGTTAAAGATGCTACAGTATAAACATCGCACATTAAATATCTGGCATTTTAAAGACATAGTTGAGACCCGGGTGACCGAGTGGTGCAGTGGTTTATTGTATGATAGATTACATTTAGTGCATTTATCATTTGTTATCCCAAAATAAGAGTTTGTGGCACATGAATTTATTTTTTCAGACTCTACAAACTTATGTCTTTGGGAAGCAAAGTCTTATGAGATTCACAAGGAAATACTGCATACCTGAACCGTACTGGGCGCTCTTATTTAAGACTGTTTAGCAGAATGTATAGATAGGAAAGGTTTGTATGCGCGTCAGGATCCAGTGCTTTGTGTCTTTCTGTGCTTTCCAGCGTCGGGTTCTGCTTCCCCTCCTGCATTGCATGTCTCCCTGGGGAGATCTTTAACAGTTCGGTGTGTGGATTTACACCTGCCTGCCAGCTCCACACACCTCACCGCCGACTCAGTGTAAAGGTGTATTATTCATTATTCACGCTAAACAAACACACACCTACTCAGCTGCAAAGGCTCTGTCTCCTCACCAAATCACACAGGCCCTCTGGGGATGGCCGATTCCTCCCCTGCGCAGCCTGGCTATCTTTACAGCCAATAGCTATATTTTTCCCATTGCAGTTTTATAAAATTTTGATCCCCTTTTGCTGCAGAAGTAAGATATTACTCACAAGTCAGACAATATTAGCTCGTAAGTCGTGGCCCAAACATTTGGTCTTCATGTCCCCGTCTGAGCAGGTAATTAAGTAAGTTAAGTTAGTCTCCTGCAATGCCTCATTGCGATATCATAATGTGACTCAGGTTATTAATCTGTTTGTGTACCAGCAGACCACCCTGTTCACCCAATACTCATAGTCAGGCTCCAGACTGAGAGCAGCTGACATTAAACTTTATTTAGCCGGACCATGTTCAGCCACACGCTCGCCAGAAACCGCGGTCACTACAGACGTGATCCGCATTCACAACATGAGCACGCCGGCTGTTTCCAGTGAGCGTTAATGCTGTTTACTCTTTAAGCATAGAGTGTGCTTTTTCAAAATGGGGCCTTGTATCGTTTATGTTTATGGTGTCATATGTTTGACATTAAAATCATCCGGAATGCACCCACCAAAGCTTTAATATGCCAACGAGTACAGTTAGTGCTAACTAACTCCCTACTTATCTCTAACTGTTGGATGCTGATGGATGTGCTGTGAGTAGCTTGAGTGGCAGTGACACCGCTCTTCACAGGGGATGACTTTACAGGCGCACTGCAAATAGGTCCCTTTCCCTGAATTCCTGTAATCATCTATTAAATCTAATGTCTTCTGTATACAGATTTACTAACAGAGAACCCATTTCGCAACTTAATGTTAATTACTCTAAGTCTTATGTTGATCATTTTAAACAGCATGAAATCTTTTTTATTTTAATAAAGATGAATGCACCGATTTTAAAATTCCTCCTGAAAGGGGATTCTGTCACCTTTGAGTGCTTTGTTTCTTTTGGAAATACAGGCAGGGCATCAGCAGTAAACTCAGCTTCTTCAGATTGCCGTCACGTCGTGTGGAAGACCTGTGTCTCAAATCATATTCTCCCAAACTCTCTAGCTCTATTAATAACCAGTTTAGTTCTGCTGTCTCGCAGACGAAAGCATCCAAGGAGATTCACAGGACTCAGATAGGGGGGGGGGGTGTTGCTAGGCAAAACAGTTAAAGGAGCTCTGTACCTACATCTCTCAATTAAGTATGATTGTGTGTGTGTGTGTGTGTGTGTGTGTGTGTGTGTGAATGAGTGGTCCCCATAAAGATTTGTATATGATTACATATCTGCTCGTGCGCATGTATGGTCATGTAATGGACTGTCATGTCATCCATGGAGTTGTATCTAAATTTTCTCCAGACAACTTCATCCCTGACCAAGCTAATCGGTTAGGTGATGGATGGATGTCACCTAATGGTGTTTTGGTTAGAGGTCCACCTAGTGTGACCTGTCTATGCCATAGACTGCATATGTGCTATCATTACTGTTTATTGAAGATCAGCTAGATGACCTCATTCTAGGGTAGAAAGGCAGATTCCCTAAGCAGTAGACCACTTGTTGATGCTAATCTTCTGTACTTTGTGCTCAGCCGGATCTCTCTCTCTCTCTCTCCCTCTCTCTCCAGGGTGGAATGAACTCCTCATTGCCTCGTTCTCACACCGCTCCATAGCGGTGAAGGACGGCATTCTGCTGGCCACAGGCCTTCATGTGCATCGCAACAGCGCCCACAGTGCCGGAGTGGGCGCCATTTTTGACAGGTGGACGTCTTTCACCGTTCTGTGTTGTCTTGTTCTGGACAGACACCAGCATAGTCCAGTAGGAAATTGCCAGTCATTTTGTGCATAAGTTAGGTTGAGTGTCCCCGCCAAAACGCATCCCAAAAACCAGTGTGTTGCTCACAAGCTAAGGCTGAAATGCCCTTATTAGACAATACATGCATTATGACTTTCATAAGAGGCTTGGTTCATTTTTTCCACACATTTCGATTAATGGATCGCATCTTTGCATTAAAGACAAAAGCTTTAAGTGTGATGATGCCTCTTTGTTCATCTGCTGATGGGAGCTATTACACATGACCAATACAGAATACCTTAAACACATAATTGCTTTATTCTGCCTGTTCTTTGGGACTAAAGAAATTAGTTTAAATAGACAGAATAAGCTATTTACATGAATTAAAATGCATTGATTGAAAAAAATCAATTAAGTAATTGAATCTTAATTAAACTAGACACTGATTTGTACAGGTATTTAGGGTACATAAGTAAAACAAATCAGGCAAAACTGAAATTTTAATGTCTGATCCTGTTTGGTGATGATTTATTTAATATAGCACCTTAGCTGCAGGCTTCATATCTTGCTAGTTGAAACTGTTGTAATTGCTCACCGACACCGATAAGGAGTTTACACATGAGTAATGCATTTACAGTCTGCTCTTGTCCACAGTGGTCAAAAATATTTGTATACCTTTCAGTATTAATATATGTTTTTGAATTAATATTTATATACCTGTATAAATCTTGAGTGCTGAGAAAACTAGATCAGCAGTTCTGCATATGCCAGTTTTAGTTTCAGCTGCTATAAAAGAATAAATCTATAGCATATCACATTGCCGAATAAAATTTAAGTTCTTCATTAAAAGGTTTATACATACCAAAAATATACTAAATCTCAAAATTATTTTATTTTATTTTTCAGTTTACTTTACTGTTGAGGGCTGTGTAACTACTGAGATATCAAGGTTATAGCAAATCATGGTCTAGATTTAATCAACAGTGCAAATCAGCCAAATTAATTGAGCCCAAAATGTAGCATGCCACGGCTGGGAACCACTGAACTAGATCACACCCTGGCAGAACCCCAGAGGAATCGCCATGTGTGGGCGGCATGCCTATTTTAGTTTTATATTATGCCACTAATTAAAGGCATTGTATAATAAAGAACCGCTCTTTGGAAATCTCTCGCTTTTGATTGATTACGGATGGCAGGTACTGGATTTACATAGTGCAGTTTTTTCCAGGCTATTCTGCCATGTCGGTTCATCGGTGTTGTTGTCTTATAGCATGATTAAAGAGTGACAGGTCCCCCCCCCCCCATGGAGGTTGTTTCACAGCCATATGTAAGATAAATAAGTGGAGCGCCTGCCGGCATGGCTGTTGGTAACTCTGCGAATCTGTTGTATTTCTACTGCATCTGAATAATTATTCAACATCATGTACAATGCTACCTTCAACAGTGTCCCTGAGCACAGATTTTTTTAAATGTGTATTTTTACCTTTTTATTGAACAAAAAATTCTCAGGCAACAAAAGAATTGTTGCTTTCCTTTTTACTTTGATGTTTGTTAAAAACAAGTCAGTTTTTAATTGCGGACATCAATGTAGTTTGATGAAAAATACTATCACTGCATATATCTTTATTTGAAACTCTTTGGAATTTTATAGGTGGATACAGTAGCAATGATCTATTCAAATGATGACATTTAATGTGCCATGATTTCCAGGATAAAAGCTATAACGTTTACGTCAGGACTGTCTCATGCCTCGCTTCTCTCATTTGGGTGGCGACAGGGTGTTGACAGAGCTGGTGTCCAAGATGAGAGACATGCAAATGGACAAGAGCGAGCTGGGGTGCCTGCGTGCGATCGTGCTCTTCAATCCAGGTATGCCAGATGCCACTTTATCCGTGGGGGGGGCGGTGATTAGACTGTATTACTATTTATTTCAAGAGGCAGGGGCCTCTAAGGTAAACACACAGAAACTGTTTCATAAGGAAGGATGAGAAGATCAATGGCCCAAGGTGCTCGTGGCCCCATCAGGCTGCAAGCACATCCCACTCTTCTCTACTCTATCTGTACTGGTTATCACGTCCAAGGCCAAGCGATGTCTCCTGGTCAGAGACGAGTACAAAGCAAGCAGAGCAGCTCCTGCGTCTCTCACATCCTCTATGACTTCAAGCCAAAACTGTATATAAATATATGACATGTAGATCATATTACCATTTACTGCCACATGAGCTCAGAATACGAACTTTCAAGATACAAGCACAATACCAGCCCCAATCCTTGTCCCAGTTCCAAAGCCTGTTAAATACCCACCTTTCCTTGAGGTTGGTATTGATATGTTAATATAACAAGGCTCGCTCAGTAACACAGGTGCCAGACAGGTGGTCCCTTGGAGCAGACGCCTCTGTCAGAGAGGTGCGCACCCCCGAGGACTATTGTTATGCGAGCAGCGTTCTTCCAAGACAGGCCGCTCTCCTTTTCCTTTTGATCATACTTTTGAGCAAAATTGATTTTGATGGCCTACTTTTCAAATGAAGCTTCCCCCAAAGTCCCTTTTAATGCCAGATAAGCCGTTCCCAGCCGTCCGCTGGAGCGCTTTTGTCTGGGGTGTCCGCAGAGGTACCGTGCAGCTTACATTATGGTAATTACACCCCATCCCCCTGCACCCCCCCTGCTGGATTCTGCTTTTCCACCTTGTGAGACCACTAATTTCCTTTGTTTATTCAGCTTATAAAAGTACATATTCAAATTCATGTGGCACCAATACCTATTTGTAACATTTTTACTATTGTTATTATTATGAAACTGGTACAGTAGCAGCACTCATTTCTTTGTCCAGAACCTTCTTCTACAGAAATCATAGAGACATGTGACAAACCCCCCTTTCCAAGTACAATCCCTGGAAAAAAAGCTGCTTAAGGGCGAGTTTGGACTTAAGGGCTTCTTAGTTTCACACACCATGGTACACACTGACCTTGCTGAGCAAAGGATGTCTATTAAGGAACAACTTGGTTTACAGTAGATTCACTGACCACAGCTTGGTGTGTCTAACCAAGTGTCTCTGAAAACATCTCCACCAAACAGAAATTCTCCATACTCAGAGAGATAACATTCACAGATTCGAGTAATCTTTAAAGCCTTTATTTGTGATTGTAATTCTTTCACGAGGAGCAAGATTTCTAAATGAGACCATCCACATCCCACAGCAGTTAGATAGTAACCATCCTGATATGGCATCACATATTCTCTACCTATCAGCCGTATGCGCTGAGTAAAGCAGATGGCGTCTCCAGCACACACGAAAACCCACGGCTGGAAAATGATTCTCACTGCAATTATGTGGTGTTTATATTTACCCATTACAGCGGCCCTTTATAATGTTTTATATCCATAGACTGGTCACAAGTGATGCGCAATCAGTGCAACTAATCATTGCCTTATGTTCCACACAATATGGGGATGAGGCCTTTCGTTTGGCAGAAATGCTAGAAAATAAAGCTTTAGTGTACAACTGTGTTATATTTTATAGCCTGTCTTTGTTTGGGGATAATTAAACTGATTATATCAAATTAAAGTTCCTCAGCATCAGTCTTTGGTGAAGCTTATTCTTCTCCTCAAGCCTGTCAAGTATCAGCATCATCCAGGTTAATTATTACCTCTTTCCATGGTAACCATAAAGTAGGTCTTAGCCAAAAAGCATCGTTACCAGTAGCTGAGAGACCTCTTTACTCTCAGTCATGTTTTACAAGGGCTCAGTAGGAAAATGTCAATTCCGTCGCCATAGTATGCTTGCATACTGAGCAGTGTGTGGCTCGTCCGATCCATTTCCTAGACTCCAAAGGTCTGTCGAACCCTGGCGAGGTGGAGGCACTGAGGGAGAAAGTGTACGCTTCACTGGAGGCTTACTGTAAACAGAAGTACCCAGACCAGCCTGGGAGGTGAGTGTTTCACTCATTGGCTCATGTGCTCTGCTCTTTGGGTCACATGTTCTGCCCTGTAGGTCACATGTTTTGCAGTTTGGATCAAATACTCTGATCTTTGGATCTCTCCTCCTCACACTTCACGCATTTACATGCAAACCATGTCTAATGCGACCCATTCCTTCCCAGTGCATTTTTGATGACATTTATTTTATTTTATTTTATTTTATTTTTCTTTCGGCCCAGAAGTCAAGAAGCCCATTTAATGATGGATTTTTAAAAATCCACCAAGTAGTTGTTTATGTATAACAAAACAGGAACCAATACTGGCCTTGTCATTTCTCATTACCAAAGTTTACTTAGTTTAATCTGATTTGTTACAGAGCCACAGTTTGTTTAATCAAATTTGTAAGGTACTGTTTGTATTTATTTCTTCAAACCACGTGTGGGACTGAACCCAAAGCTGCCCTCTAGTGGCTAACATGTACGCTGCTTGTCACTCTGCGGCCAGGTTTGCCAAACTCCTCCTGCGGTTGCCTGCCCTGCGCTCTATCGGCCTCAAGTGTCTGGAGCACCTGTTCTTCTTCAAGCTAATCGGAGACACACCCATCGACACCTTCTTAATGGAGATGCTGGAAGCGCCACACCAAATGACCTAAAGCGGAGGCCGGCCCAGTGCCCAGGCTTCCCTGCACGACAGCGGACGGTTTCCTGATGCCCTATGGAAACACCCAGGATCTCCCTCATTGTTTTTTTTTTCATGTTTCAGAGGAGTTCATTATGTTTATGGGTCTGTTTTTTTTTACAATGTATAAAAGAATAGATTTGCGATTATATAGCTCATGAAAAATGAGAACAAGGGATTCAAATCTGCAAATTGAAATATCTGAGACCCTTTTTTATTAAGAAAAAAATGTCACGGAGCAGAAACAGATATTGCATAGAATGGAAATGTGTGCGCTGATCCCAAGCTCAAAGTAGGATAAGTATTTGGACAATCTCGTTATTTACAGGGAGTTTTAGAGTGGCAGCCTGGTACGCCTCATCTGATGGCCGTACACGGTGAGTTTCTCTGCAGGCCAATCAGACTTTACGAGAAGAGGAGGTCGGGTCTCCTTTCTGACTCCTGGGACCGGACCCTGAAAACGTAGGACACTGCTCCGACCAGCAGAGGGAGCCGCTGACCAGCCCAGCCTCAGGGAGGCGGACCGTCCTGACTGTGCAAGGTGTGAGGGGGGCTCCAAACCCACATCACGGCGACTGTGACACGGCTGTCTTCTAAGGAGATGGATTAGCCCCCCGGGCTGGGAGCACGAGATGAGCTCTGGCCTCGGTTTCCGGGGGAGACGATGCCATGCTAGCCGACCCACAGCGACCCGGGGACTCTTCTGCGCACGGTTCTGCAGGCTTGCGACATTCATGCACTTTCTCTGCCCTTTAACCATGAGCCACTGCCCACATTTGGTCTGGAGCAGATTCATCCCTCCCCCCCTACTTCTCTCTGCAAGATCAAAACTCCACAGTACCTCAATAGACTGTGACCGCTAACCTCCGGATCCCTCCCTGCGGCCCCGCATGGGAGCCTCGCTACACTGTAACTTGTTACAAGTCATACGTCACAGCCAGACACAGTATTGAAGGCGCATGTTTCGTGACGCGACCGGCATTTGGTGTGATCTGTTAGTGTGATCTCTGCTGGGTTAGCCAGTGACTGGAGGAGTGCTGGGTGGGACCTGTGCTCTTAGGAAGGAAAGCTTTATGTTCTTGGCACTTAACTCTCCGTATGAAATAAGGACGGAGCCAGGAGTAGGTGGGTAATGCAGGAGCGCATGGACTGGTGAAGGAGCGGAATGGGTGAGTCACCGCCCCCCTGCTCAGGGGATCAAAGCACAGGGCCTTCACCTGACGAGACCGTTAGGGCTCTTTTGCGAAGATGGTTTGTTTGTAGAGATGTGCAGGTCAGTGGCTCTCAAGCCTTTCCTGATGCATCTCCAGCCTTTCTGTATGTTTCTCCAAATTCTACCACCAGACAATCTAACGATAACACGTCAGCTCATCTTCAAGCCCGTGATTAGGTGCATAAACTGTTCCGGAGCCCAAATGTAGCAAACATATGCAACGGCTGCCGGTGCTGAAGGAGAGGTTTGGGAGGCACTGGGGAAGGTGATCGTGTGTCTCTGACCATATTATTCACTTTCGTGCTGCTGTGGCGAAACTATGCATCTGTCATTTCCAAAGATCATCCACGGGATAGTTTTTATCTGACGCAACCAAGCTTAAGGAGTGCTCAGCTGTGAAGCTGTGCATCAAGGCAGTATTCGATGAAAACTCTGACTGGGCTCAGGGACATTTCAGGAAACTGAGAGCTTTTACTGCCCTCTAGTGGAACAGAATGAACAATGCAATTTAGCTCGTCAAGGAGAACAGCTGCAAATCAGATAAATACTTAGATGGTCTCACAGTCAGAAGCGTTGCAAGGCTTTCGCAAATCAAACAGTTTTACCTCAGGTATATACAACAACAAAAAAAGTTTCTAAAGTTGTTTCAAAGAATAACTTGTCCAATTTTCTTTTAAAAAGGAACTTGTCAGTATTTTTATGTTTTTAATGTATTTTGAAAATTATTTCCATTAAAATGTTAAATTTTAGAATGAGATTATTGGCAGTTCTCACACTCACAGACTAGCACTGCAGAGCGTGTGAATGAATGCTTTCTCAGTTCACTATTGTAACTAGATCCTACCAGTGTTTACCTTCATTGGCAGTAACTCACCAGCCAGAAACTCAGAGGGAGCTACAAGTATATTTTTGAAATTTGTAAATTGCAAGTAGTGGGATCGTGTAATCTCCCTCAAATAAATCTCTTGTCTAGGGTTCGTTCTGTAGATGTGACTAGCCTTTCATTATAAATTTAAAAGCACTAATCATTAACAGTTTGCAACCATGCTGACTAAATCCAGATTCAACCAATCATACCACTCCTTGTCTTTTCTCTCATGTGAATAGATGGACACCTAACAGGTGTTACAAAAATCAGCAGATGGTTTAGCCAGAGGTTAAAAAGCCATATTGGTGTACGGCAGAAAACTCCTAAAAGAGACGGTTAAAGAAATGAATTCATAAATATGCTTTATACATGCACAAAGCTATTTTGTCTATATGTATAAGTGTGTATATTTATATAGAGATCTAAGTGTTAAACAACTGATATATGCTAGCAATGGGGATAGAATCGCAGCATTCATCAAGATGTGTTTTGCAGTCTTCAGACACCTTTCTGTTTGTTTGTTTTGTGGCCTTTATCTCTGATTACTTTATGTTTGTTCTCTTCTACCCAGTGAAGCTAGCAACCTGTAAATGCCACCTGCAGGATGTAACCCCTGTAAATGACCGCGGACCGGCTCCTGTAGCCCCTCCCCCACCCGTGCTGACCTTTCTGATTGGTTGGCACATGCTCTGCTGGGGGGAAGGCTGTGCAGTCCCCCGTCACACCCCCTGCTGAGCAAATAACATCCCTTAACACAGGGTCGCACTGTGGCTGCACAAACACAGGTACACTGTGACACCCCAGTGGGGAAGCAGTGCCAGTGTGCCCCCACTTCTGGACAACTGTGGGGCCAAATTTCATTTGTCAGCTGACTTGTTTCATGCGTTTTAAAAAGAAGATTCATGCCGCATACAAGCGACAGCAACCTGGCAGGGGTATGTAGTAGGGGGACATCAGTGTCTGAAAATAGAACTATCCTGTTTGCACAAAAACGACAGACAACCCGCTGGATGCTTTTGCGCATTTCAGACGATGATCACAGTGTGATACCAGAAAACATAACATGGCATCTGAAAGCTGACTTTTCAGCAAGCTGACACAAAACAAGTTATGATTCCCAAATTAACACAAAATTCATGCCCCACAACTCTGTACTGAATAAACTGTTAGAAGATGGATTGATTTGAAGATGTGCTTAGTCAATATCCTGCACGTGTCCAAGACAGAGGCATTATGAGAGTCTCGTATGGTATTTTTATTTCCCCAGAATGGACACGAGTTCAGCGCAATATACCGTTTTGTGCTCAGAATGAACAGGACGAGAGTCTGTTATCCATCTGACTGTAATAACTTGCACTTGTTTTATGCTGACATGGAACAGCCATGCCTGCGGTGGAGGACAGGGTCAGGGGGTGCAATTTGGGTGCAGCCAGCGAACGAGAGAATGGAAAACAGCCGCGGTCATAGTTATCGGCCCTGTTTACACTAGATTTTAAAAGCATCGTGGGCGGTTGGATCACAAGTGAACTACGCTAATTAGTTGTTAAGTGTAAAGAACCACCAAGATGCACTGGGAAACAATCACTCAAACCACTTGCTGATGTGGTTTGGAACACGTATCTTTTGTAGCGTAAATGCTAGTGTGTCCTGGATGCGTCCCCAACAAGGACAAGGACAATAACTGTGTGCGGGGCAGTAATGAAATCTGAACACAAGTGGTCTGCTCGTCACCTTGGAGAGACGTGATAGTCCACTTGTGTTCACCCAAGACGCATTTTAAGACAAGGTGTAAACAGCGCTATGGTCATGAGGCGACATAAGCAGGACACAGGCTGCTCAGCGTGTTTATCAGTAGCTGGGTCACTCAGGAACTTAAAGGTTTAGTGAGAATCTTTCTATCACGCGTCCAGTTGTAGCAGTAGCTACCAGCGTGAGAAACGTGCACCAATCCTGGAGTGTGTTTGACTGGGAAGTGGCCAACAGGAGCCCCCGGAAGCTCGAGGAGCAGCGGTCTGACAGTCCCAGTAGCACAAGTTGCGCTGTTCTCTGTTAGATGCCTGAGGTCAGAAATTAGTGTTTGTTTCGATTTCATTTTCTTTTTGGTTAATTTACTTAATTATGGATCAGGTGAAGCCCCAACAGTCACTGCATTTGTTGTAGCAGTTTAGCAGTAACAAAAAAGAAAAAAAAAATATACATTAACGAAAAAGTCTATTTTTGTACAAATGTAATTTTATCCCTCGGTTATATATTTCTGATGGTTACCTTCATTCTATGGAATGTTATATACATTAATTGTATAAATGTTAATTTTAAACAGAAAAGAACCTTCAAAATCCGCAGGGTGCTCGGGTACCCGTCATCCATCGTCCATGTGCATTCACAAGGTTTTTTGGTTTTTTTTTTTGGTCCAATTGAAAATTCAGTTGTCCTTTCTATCGTTTACCTTTTTTTTTTTTTTTTTTAGAAAAATGAAAAAAGTCATGCTTTGTGGGTTGTTCTTTGATGTACTGTTTAAAGATTATTAAAATCAGAAGGCTTGTGAGAGTTCTGTTCTTTCATTTTCTGTTAAATTCCAGTAGAATCACATACATGGTGAAGTTATCAGGAGCAAAGACTGCAATTAAGACAGAACAACAAATGCAAACCTTAAGTTCTGAGACTCATCAGCGGCAAACAAAACATCTCACATGTAAGCATTTCATTAGCAATTAAGTAAACGTACAACGTATTGACTAGACCAGTGTTCCTCAACCCAGTCCTCAGCGAACCCCAGCCAGTCCACGTTTTTGCTTCCTCTCAGCTCCCAGCGCGCCTGTACCAGCTATTCGGTGTTCCTGATTGGCTGGGAGCTGGGAGGGAGCAAAAACGTGGACTGGCTGGGGTTCGCTGAGGGCTGGGTTGAGAAACACTGGACTAGACCATAAAAAGCTCCAGAGATCCCAGGATTGGGAGAACTGCACTGCAGGATGGGTGGAAAAATCATCCCACTTTGGAAGAAAACTAATGGGATGCAGGTCATACACTGGGAGGAACTAAAAAGTAGAGTTGGAAATTATATTATCCACATGCATAACTATAAATATTCATCATTTCTCCTCCCCTCAATATGAACGTCAAGAAAAGTTACAGCTTTTATATAAAAGGAGTTTAATCAAAGTTTGTTTTTAAACATCAAACATTTTAGCCAAAATTTTGATCAACTGCTGCACAACAGAACAAGCAAATAACCATAGAAAAGGAGCAACTTTTGAACCTCACACAGCCTATAAATAAACGTACACCGTATACTATGTTAGGCGGACAAAGAAGATTCGAAACCCCTGCCATGTATTTTTCAGCTATACATCTGAAAAGCAACCGTACACAGGAACATGGAGAAAAATCTGGATTTTACATGCCATTGAAAGAAAGCCATTTTGCACACACAAAAGTAATATTCCTTGATGAATAATTGCATACATATGCTGAGGCGTGAGATTTCTGATAAACACAGTATAGAGGCAGAGTGTAAGGACCAAGCTGTCGCTGTCCACAGTGCAGTCACAGAGCGTCTCTCTCTCTCTCAGACTCATTGTATGTTACTAAGCTATGAAGTTCCAGATGTTTAAACCAATTGGTCAAAGTGACGACCGAAAGTCAAAGTGTAAGTTCTATCAGCCTCATCAGAAGTCACCGCTGAAGCACACAACTGCAAAGCTATATATTACCTATATAACTATATATTGTTTATATAAAAATCAGGTATATGTACAGCTAAGTGGAAAGAGAATTGCTGAAAGGAGCAGGTCTTCGCTCTAGCAAGTCTACTAGAGGTCAAACTACCAACACGTTCACAACCAGCTAACTGGTAAAGTTCTAAATGGGAAGCCAACTGATTCCCAGCAAATTGGTGACAACATTTGTTATGAATAAAGCAGAAAACACATTTTACAGTGTTGAGATAAGGCTCTCGGCAGATGACGCGGGTCAGACGAAGTTCAGACTGCACTGGCAGCCTGGGCGGCTCCTCGCTGAGCAGAAGGGGGCGCTGCTGTCCCATCTCACGCAGACCAGCATCCTTCTGAAGCCGGACCTTCTCGCTAAACAGTTCCTCCTCAGAGTTGAAAAGCCGCGGACCCTGGAGCTTAGCAGTCGCTCTTCCACAGTTTGATGGTTTTGTCATTTTCCAGTGCGGCAGAGGCGATGATGTTCTCCGTGGGGTGGCAGGCGGTGGAGATCACAACATCTGCAGAGGAGAGAGCAACTGCCACTCAGCTACAGCCCTCTCACAAAACATGGCCGTGACACCCCACCAAATCCTAGCCCAACCCGCACTGGGCCACCAGCTCCATACAGCCCTCATGGTCCCTGGACCCGCCTTACCCATGTGTCCCGGCAACTTCTGCACGATCTCTTTAGTCTGGAGGTTCCAGATATACACCATGCTGTCTTCCGACCCAGAGACGATCCACTGCGGAAGGAGGAAACCAAAACAGACACAGTGAAGCAGACTACGGCTACACGTAGCGGCCAAAAAGCCAGGGCCCCATCCCAGAATGGAGAGAGTTCATCCAGCAAGCACCTGGACTAGAAGGTTTTAAATCCAGATAATTCAGACAGACCCACTTATCACAGCTCATGAGAAGGTCACCATATTCTATCATCTAGCGTTTTGTCTGAGGTGCAGCTCAGCTACTCATGGGTTATTTAAAGCTGGCATCGAGCGACAAATCTGACCAACACGTGGCATCAGGTGGCACAGAGTGTGAAGCAAGTCAGAAAGCTGTGCTTCACGGGTACTGCTGTAACTATTTGCTCATGCAAGTGGAAACCTATCAAACCGGTTCCAGAAGTGGAACCAGTCCTGCATTTCAATACTCTCATGGTCATAGGACACTGGCAGCGTTAACCCTTTACGGCGATGCACCCACCTTACCACCAGTGACGGAGAAGTTGGCAAACACACAGTATTTCTCATTTTTATGGCCAGTGTACGTTTTCAGGCACTGAAAAAGACAGGCATGTTAAAACAGCATGGTGACGTCACGGTACTGCAGTCATGGTACTCCAGTCACGGCTCTGGGAGCCCAGTAAGATTCACACACACCTTTCCTTTACTGTAGTCCCACAGCTTCAGGGTGCTGCAAGACAAAAGAGTTTGTTCTGCGTTAAGACTTACAAACATTAAGAATGAAGCCTAGAGCCAGACACGGGGGAGGGTCATTCCTGAGAAAATTCACAGCTACAAAACAAATTTCTAGACTGTCCTTCACCTCCTTGGGTGGGGGGGCAGGCACCTTTGAACACAAGCAGGCAAGCATGAAGGACCAGTGATGACACTCACTTATCCAGGGTGGCTGCTAAGATGTATTTCCCATTGGGGGAGAACTTCACAAACGACACTGGGGGGTTGTCATCATCTGTCAGAGACAAAAAGAAACGGCACCTCAGCACTCTGAAGGCCCAATCTGTGCACCTCATACACAGCAACACAGGTCATTGAACAGCTCCTTAAACACCGGCCAACTTGGTGCAGATTCGTGAATCCTGAAGGTGCCATTTTTACCGTGGAATATGAATCCCATCCCCATATTATTTATGCAGGTGAAGCTGGAGACCGATAAAAGCAGCCAGACCACAAGAAAACCAGATGCCAGACGCCTTGTTGCACCACCCACTTAGATACTGGTCAAAATTTATAATGCAAATCAGAATTACTGGAACATACATTAGCTGTAAATAGGTCTGCATTTAGGTCACTGTTTCTGCTTTTGTATTCATTCAAAAAGGACATACCGATGAGTGTTTTAAGACACTGTCCTGATGCCGTGTCCCAGATTCGACTGGAAAAAAATGTTTTTCACATTAAAACTGGGAGACACTGAGCACAGCAACTGACAGACAGACAGTAAAGTCAATGGAGAGATAGGAATCATCTACTAACAGAGGTAGGAGAACCTACCAAAGACCATCATAGCTGCTGGACACAATCAGAGAGCCGTCCCTGTTAAAATGGACCTGGAAAAATACATTTTAAAAAGAACATTTACACCTATGGCAGATAACTTTGCAAAGAAATGTTCCAAGTGTGATATCTCTCATTCAGAATTAGCTCATTCAAGTTATTTCAAGTCATGAATGAGTGAAACAGAATGATTCTGAAAGTGAAGCAGGAGAGGAATCCATGGTAAAAACGAGAGACTGCTTAAAGTCAGCAGCTGGATGAGGGAGGGAAAGGGCCCAGAGAGAACAAGACTGTAAATATGAGAACGCCACCTAGAGGACACAGCATTGCAGTACAGCAGAAATGAAATGACAAGGAGGCCTGAAATGTCAAGTGCCTGTGTGTTCTGACTGAAAACGGACATGCAGGTTACCTGCCCAATACTGTGTTAAAAGTGTCACATACATGCAGCTGGGCCTAAGCAAGTGAAACCATGACTACTAACCGCAGACACCGGATCTGAATGGGCTGGCAGGGTCTTCAAGCACTTTCCAGTCTTGACGTCCCATATCCGCACGCTCTCATCAAACTGCAAAGACATTCAGACGCTCGTGACCCGACGGACCAAGAATCAGTGCCTAAAGTCTGCCGGTCCATCAGTACGCCGTTATAATTATTGTGGTCCAACTAATTAAAACTCAAGTTTGGCCATTGATATAATGGAAGTCAGACAGGATATTCTTCTCCACGTGGAGCTAAACATCCCTGGAAATGGACTTACCGATCCTGACACGATGAGGTTCGACTGGGGGTTGAAGTTACAGCAGAAGACGTAGTTGCTGTGGCCCTTCAAAGTTTTCAGACATTTTCCCTATGAGAAAAACCCAAATTAGGCACTATACAGCTGGCTATCAGGCCAATGACAAAATACACCTCCATGGCCAACGGAGCTGAAAGGGAGAACACAAATTCATAACAGCAAAAAGTTCTGTGGTATTTGGAGAGGTGGGCTGACACGCTGGCTTCTGTCTGCAGGAGCCAGCAAATCCTCGGCAGAAAGAGAGAAGGCAAACGTGCCCCTCAACCCCCTCACCGAGCTAACATCCCAGATCTTCAGGGTCTTGTCGTCAGATGCCGAAACCAGAAGATTAGAGTCTGAGGACCAGGCCACATCAGAGATGCCCTGGAGAAGATGTATGAAGTTAGTCAGAGTAGTGATTGGTTAAGTTGTGTCTAATCTCCATTAATCCAATGCTAAAAACCACTGTTTCTCTCTTTATGGATCCCAAGACCTCTAGAACTTATGTGTGTTGGGATGATAAGTATGTGCTAGTCTTTACAAAGTTCATACAAACTGCAACCAATTTAGTATTAAAATCTGATTAACAGACAAGGTGACTGAAAATAAGGCTGCTGTCTTGTAGCTACAAACATAACTATTACATGATTGATACATATAGGTGAACTTACTAGTTTGTGTCCAGATATCGTTTTCTCAAACTTTCCATCATACGCCCCCCATATTTTGATCAACTTATCAGCAGCTGAAAAACACACACACAAAAAAAATCAAAGCTAAGCCATGTTACATCTATATGTCAACAGCATGTGGAAACCTAAC